TGTGTGTGTGTGTGTTACTGACCTGTGGGTTCGCTAGTATCCTCTTAACTCCGTCCACCAAATGTGACAGAAACTTTGCTCGTTCTGCGTTGTTGAAGAGAGACCTCCTCACAGAGGCTATCTGGACTAGACATGACAACACCTGCACACATAAAGCACACATTGAGCGTCCAACACCAGGCTTTACACGTTATTCTGGGTGTGTGATCACAACGTGAACAGCTCACTTACCAACGGGGAAAGGGACGGAGGGATGGAATGATATAAATTGAAAAAGAGCTGCAGGGTGGAGGAATCGAGAAATGCTGCGAGACAGACAAAAAAAATGTAAATAATTCTTCTTCCAATAGTCCAAAACCCAAATGTTTCTGCAGCTTTCAACAGATTAAACTTAAGACTTTTAAAGACCATTATGAACACAATTCAAGACCAATTTACTGGCAAAGAAAAGTACAGAAGACAGCGTGAACAATAGGGATGATCCTGGCACTCACTCTAAACCTCCTAAATTAGAACCAAAGCACAATGTTTATTACAGATTTCTGACTAGAAGCACTTTTGACTGCAGCTACCTGATCTCCATGACGTGGGGATCTGTACGGTGCAGAGGTCGTCCGACGACTCGTCTGTGGAAGTTCCTATAAAGTCGTAGTTGAGACAATTGTAGCTGAGTTTGAGCAGCTGCATCAGCAGGCCGTGCTGAGATTCATCGTTCAGGTTCAGGTTCTTCCCCGAAGCCTGAAAACAACCAGAACAACAGTCAGTCAACGTCCTGTCAGCAACACGTCCTCCATCCAAGCTTATGTGTTTAAAGTGCCATCAGATGCTGATCCAGATGTGTCAGATGTGTCATAAACCGACTGCATCCACAGATTGTTACAGCGGGTCGCGCTCTGTCGACAATTAAGCTCCTAAAAGGTCTGCTGAGGGGAATTATTTTAAGCTCAGTGCCAGGATTTAGTCAGCTGGTGGAATCAGCTGTTCTCTGCACTGTACAATATAATACAGACATTATTAAAGTCTTGCTTTGCTTTATTGTTATTGGTGCGACTGTAAGAGCTGAGTAAAAAAAACATTAAAGATTATAGTTTTTCTTCATATAGTAAAATGTCAAACAAATCAGACAAGTTTAGAAAATAAATATTAAAACATTAACTACACAAGTGTGTCACAAAATGCTAGCTAACTAGCTAATAATTGATGTAAATTAGCTAGTTATCTAATGTTTTTGCTAACATTATCTGTTAAACGACTGATTTGATCTTTTTTGACCTTTTATCCATCACTTTTAATGAACTTTAGACCAGCTGATTCAATATGTTGATACATCTACATTTATTTAATCCTAAATAGTAATTTCTTTATTCCATAATCTTTCTACATTCCCCCTGGTTGTTGAATTGCTGCTACAGGAGAAACCTGTTAGTGGTAGTAATTCAGTGTTACTATCGACAGAAAGGAAAACATCATTTCATGAGTTATAGTCAAAGATGCTTTTATTTTGAAATTTAAAAAGGAAGCAACCGGCCCAGTTCTTTGATGTGTAAACTGAGACATCCGGGGCTAAAGTCTGCTTTGTTTACTCTGCGTAAAGCTGCAGCGTGTTGGCGATAAACTGAAATAAAACGTTAAATACTGAGCGGTTATACTGTTTTATAGTGAACAGAACTTCCAGTCTTACTCTATAGAAACAGACGTACCTGTTTGAGGAGGTTGCAGGAAAGAGTGAAAATGTCGAAGAGGGAGGAATCTCTGAATGACGATGCTATCTTCCTATGTTTGGTCAGAGGATGCGTCGTGTCGGCCTGAGGAGGAAACAGACGGCGTTAAACATCTTCAGCACGGAGGAAGAAACGGAGGCTGAAGGGACGACGACCCACCTGATTGATCTCATTGGTCAGCTGGGACAGGATGGTGACGCCTATGATGCAGTGTTCAACGCTATCCTGTGAACGCACCACAAACACGTCAGTTACACAGCGTCAGACACACACCGTTACCGCTGCAGGGTTCGGACCACGCAGGTGAACACACACCTGTAGAAAGCGCGTCACATCTGCGATGACGTTTCTGAAGACGTAGTCATCTTTCTGACAGTCGAACCAGCCCAGTTTGGTGATCCTGGCGTACAGCTGGATCAAGGCCTGGGTCACAAACGCTGCTAACTTCGGCCGCGTGGCCAAATAATTCAGCACATAGTTCCCTAAACATCACAGAGACAGCAACGGCTTCATGAGAGGGAACAACACGCCTGAAACACTTCCTGAAAACTTATTCTCTCTTGCTAATGTAGTTTTATCTCAACCCGTCTGCTGCTGCAGATTTATTATTATTATTATTATTATTATTATTATTATTATTATTTTTAGAGGTGAGACTGTACAGCTGATACCGACACTGGGAACAGTGGAATAAACTGTGTGATGATCAGAGTTCAACCAGGCTGGAACATTTGAACAGAGTGACTCTGAAAGCTTCTCTTTAAGGGAAAGAAGCTAAAGTTTCAGTAACAGAACTTCTAATTCCCCCCAGGCCCGAGTGAGAAGCGGGCCGAGGACCCCG